AAGGCAGTCCACGATTAGGTTGGTACCTCAAACTTATTCTACATGCTTGCAGACGATTGAAGTCAGTTCATAAATAGGAGGTAAATTTGTTGGCAGTTGTTCCCATAAACAAATTACGTACGATCCTCTAACATTGAATTATGCTTAAGTATGCGTTATTGCCTATTGTGTGTGTGCATAATCAGACGTCTTGGTGCAAAATTAGCAAAGACCCGGGTACTGGAGCAGTTTATTGCGTGTCCTCTATTGACCATGTGTTAAGAGAGCTCTGACTTTTGGATGCATACACCTTTACAAGCGGTTTTGTGTTTACATACTTTCTTCTGGATGGGTCGGCAGGTCTCCCACACACAGAAATTAACACATGAGCACAAAACCTTGTAGTAGCCAGATCTAGAAAGAGGGTCAGGGTATTCTCGAAAATAAGGCACGACTGAAGCAAGTGTAAATTGCTCTTTATACATTGTTTATATGTTCCATTTCGTCAGTATGTGATCCAATCTTTTTGCAAGCGGACAGGAAGGCATAATCAGAAACAGTGTAAAACGGTCTATTTGTCCATCTCTTACCTAAATACCAATCTTTCTTCGTCCTATTATTTAGCATTAAAACGTAATTATTATCAATGTTAATGAATAATTGTTTTGAAACATTATATGCCACTTTACTGGTCACCCTGGTTTACGCCTTGGAGACGCGGGCTCTTTAGTGTCACCATACCATAACTCCTACTTTAAATCGATATGTATGATTAAATAAGAAATTACTAAGAAAACCTGAGTATGTGGGTTTTCTACACACGTCTCTACCAAACTTATTACCTTCTATGCTCACTAATAAATCTTTTTATAACTTTATCTTAAATTTAATAATGCCCTGCAATCTATTAATTAGTTCAATGAATTCACCAAATCTATCTTTGCCGTGTTGCCGAATAGCAAAGTAATCGTCCACACACCGAAATAATAATGTGAGAACTATGAGTACTTTTTGAAACATACGAACTTCTAACTGGGCCATGTAGTTATTAGATAAAGTAGGAGATAAACAAGATCGAATAGTGAAGCCTCACGCAAATAACTATTGAAGCTAAAAATATCGAATACTAATGGCCAAAGTGACTAATCTAATTGTCTGATCTTTGTCTAACCATTTACCTCTTGCGATCTCAGAACGTTGATTTGCCGTTGATCCTAAGGCCTTTATTGCCTCGGTAATCGGAGGCAATGTGGTGGCTGTGTAGTGTACATATAAATTACACCCAAATTTACCACCAAATCTCCTCTCTCTATCATCTGAGCATCAACTTAATTTATAAAGTCGTAAGACTGCATATCGAAACCTTCAAAGTTTCTGAGATTTGCTATAACAAAGTACAAAAAAATGGTGTTTTATGCATTACTCTGCCTCTATTATTTACGAAAATCTTGATCGTGTTACCTTGATCATGAATCTTGTTAAGGAGACCATTTCGTGTGAAAGTGGCCGCAATATTAATTGGTGATTTGTCTGCCTAAAATTCACAAGAAAGGTATCAAATTTGGGATTATTTTAAATAATAGCGGTAGCGTAATGCATAAGACATCATGAATAAATTGTACTTAGGTGAGGCAAAGCTCCAAAACTTTGAAGTTTTCGATTGTAT